AAAAGGTGCCGCCCATCAATTCCCTTGATGATGCGAGGAAGAAGGATCTGCTAGCTTTCGTCACGGTACTTCAAGCGTTGGCATCACTTTCTCCTCGGGCGTCGGCGATTCACGTGGGCAACGGATAACAATCCGTTGACTTATTACAAGACACAAGACACGTTGAGCAGCATGATCGGTCGTTGGATGTACTTCATTGGCCAGTTCAACTTCACCTCCAAGCATTTTTCGGGCCCCTCGAACAAGGCAACGGATGCTCTCTCGTGAAGACCCGATCTTTGTGCCTTGGTGCACTCCACTTTCGGCCTTGACGAGGACCTGCAACAACATTTTGTAAACTGCTACAAGTCGGATCCGGGATTCTCCACACTCTACGCGGACTTATCATCGGATCACCCGCCGGCAAGCAATTATCGCATTGCCGACGACTACTTGCTTTTCCATATGCGAGGCAAGGACTTGTTGTGTGTTCCCCAAGACAAACATCTTGCGCACTCGCCTCCTTGGCAAATACTACGATTCGCGGCTGGCGGGACACCTCGGCGTCGCACGCACACTTGCAAGACTCCGCCAGCGATTCCACTGGTTGGACATCATCGGCGACGTCAACCGGTACATTCAGTCATGTGCAGTTTGCCACTGAAACAAAGGGCGCCATCAGCTCCCGTACGACGAGTGAAACCATTGCTGATTCCTCGGGAACCAGGTCTCTCCATTCCCATGGATGTGACCGGTCCTTTCCCTCGCGATCGCCTTGGCCATGATGGTATTCTCACGGTCGTCGACCGTTTGAGCAAGTACGCTTGATTTCTTCCATGCAATTATCATGCGACGGCTCCCGAGCTCGCACGACTCTTGCATACCGTCTGGTTTTGCAGCCATGGCGTTCCAGAAGACATCGTCAGCGACCGCGACACTCGTTTCATGTCAGCCTTTTGGACGACACTCATGGTGGAATCCGGCACCAGCATGAAACCGAGTTCCGCACGACATCCTCAAACGGATGGGCAAACGGAACGAGCACATCAGACTAAGCAGATGATGCTCCGCACACTCATCCGTCCGGATCAGAAGGACTGGGTTGACCGTCTTCCCGACATCGAGTTTGCCTACAACACTTCGGTGCACCCGGCGATCGGCGTGACTCCATTCGAGTTGCATCACGGTGGACACACCGTATCTTTGCAGACATTTTGCTTCCACGGGCTGCCGATATCGACGCCGCTTGTTCCCACGCTTCTACATGGAAGTATAGGGATCTGCTGGCCAAAGCCCGTGCAAATATGCAAAAGGCTCAGGTCTGTATGCAGCAGCAAGCGAACCGGCGTCGCATCCCATGTCCAATCCTCGCTGGCGACCTTGTTTGGGTCACCTCCGAGGAATTCGTGCTCGAGTAGCACGTCTAGCGCAAGCTCCTCCCTAAGTGGTTTGGGCTATGGAAGGTCACTTCAGCAGCTGGCGACGACCCGCGGGTCCCTCTTTCGTAATCGAGATTCCCCCGCATCTGACGGTCCACCCTGAAGCTGGCGGTCTACACTCCAGCCTCACTAACGGACTTTACAGGCAGACGGTCCCACGACCCTCCTTCAATGGACGGTCACCAGGAGGTCGACCGTGTCCTCACTCATCGCAAGCACAACAACAAGCCGATGCAGTATGAAGTTACATTCAAGCAATGTGATCCCGACGACACATGCTGGATTTCACGAGCTGACCTGAAGGTGACAGCACCCCTCATCTTCGCGCATTACGAAAAACAGCGACTTGCTAAGGAAGCTGCCCAACCCGCCCGCCCCGCACGGACATCGGACAGACAGCTTCGCCCTCGCAGTTAGCTCGGTCTTCAAGGGGGGGAGTGTGTGGCATACTGATACCACACGGGCCCCAGTGAGGGCCCAGTTCTGTAGTAGGCACGGGTTAGGCCCAGGTACCGGGTCACGACGGTCCCAGCTAGGTCCAGGTAGGCCTAGGAACCGTTGGTTCAGACTAGAGTCCGGTAGGCCTAGTTTAGACCCCACCAGACCCAACGGCTAGTTCAGTTAGGCCAGGTACTGGTCCATCGGTAGGACCGGCCGGCGGCGCAGTTTAGGCGCCACTTTACTTTCAGATTTCAGAATCGGATCTGAACCGTTGGGGCTGATCAACGGTCCAGACCCGAAGGCACCAGTAGTACTGAGGTCGGCCCGGCACTATATCAGCTGGGTGCCAGCCTCAGTAAGGAGGTTAGTCTACAGGTTAGCGCAGTGTTTCGGCGTTAGCATGAGCAGAGCAGCGGAGAGAATTAGGGCAGCAGCGAGGAGGAATAGCGCAGCAGCGATTTAGCACAGCAGCGAGAGAGAGAGAGAGAGAGAGAGAGAGAGAGAGAGAGAGAGAGAGAGAGAGAGGACAGGGGGGAGGGAGGCGAACACTTCTGGAAGAGGACAGGCCAGGCCCTCCGAAAGGGAGATCGC